GGCTCTAAAGTCTGATTTAGCTCCCATGTGGCTTCCGTTGGTGTGTGGTTCTGTCATATGACCTTTCACAAAAGATATCTCCCCGATTGTGGAGTAATCTGCTCTTTTGATCCGCAATGCCGACTGGTACTTCCTCATAGGATAAATCCTCCCGGAGTGAAAGAGGTTCGTGGGGCCAAGACATGAGAGGGGTCCGGGTTGTACTTGCGTAGCATGGACACATGAAACACATTGTGGACCTTAGAAAGTTATGGAGGCAGTGCTAGTTTGTAGGCGGCAGTTTCCCACTCTTGCCGAACCTACTGATCCCCTTAAAATGAGTGACCTTAAGGAACACCCGGTCACCTTCCTCAAACGCTAAATCTCTCATCCAGGTGTCCGCATAACTCTTCTGCCTACTTTGAGTCGTCTGAATGTTCTTCTTGATCTTAGTTATTTTGGATGTAGTCTCCTGTACCAGCTCCGAGCCGAACAATTTTCTATCACCCACTTTTTTCCAACAAATCGGTGATATGCATGGGCACCCATATAATGCCTCATACGGAGCCATGTCAATACTCGCTTGGTAACTGTTGTTGTAGGTGAACTCTATCAGGGGTAGATAGTCATCCCAATGGCCCCCGGAGTCAAGGACATAAGCTCAGAGCATATTCTCGAGTGTACGAATTGTCCTTTCTGACTGTCCATTAGTTTAAGGGTGGGAGGCAGTACTGAGGGACAGTTTTGTTCCCATGGCTTGCTGAAAACTACTCCAAAACCGAAAAGTGAACCTAAGGTCCCTATCGGACACCACTGTCACTGGATCCCATGCAATATGATTATTTTTCGGATATACATTCTTACCAACTTGTCCAAGGGATCGGTCATCCTGATGGTCAAGAAGTGGGAATACTTGGTAAGCCGGTCAACAACTACCCAGATGACATCATGTCCTGAGCGTGCCTTAGATAACCTTATCACGAAGTCTATGGTGATATGTTCCCACTTCTACCTTGGGATCGGTAAAAGCTGAAGTAACCCGCCTGAGCGCTGATGCTCTGCTTTGACTTGCTGACATACCAAGCATTTAGAAACAAAGTCAG